CCCTTTAAATATCGATAATTGTACCATCACCTTAAATGTGTTTATACTGTGACACCAAGCGAGGTCTAGATGCATACAGGGAGGTACTTACGGGTACTTAGGGTAGTGGGTGAATTCTTATGTGCGAGCGTTTTCTGCCGTAGGCACTTTTTGGCCGAAAATGGGATCGAGGTTAGCGTTTGTGAAATGTTACTAAATACTAAATCAACGATATTCTCTCCACGGCACTACACAAACCGTCCATACCAGACACAATGTACATTTAATTATACAACATTTCATATATTTTCATACATACAATTTCCTAGGTTGTACACGGAATCAAACCCGGGTATTTAACCCACTAAATGACACTTTGACCATCAACTCATTTATAGGCTATTGAGCACGGGTCTCCACTCAGGCGAGGGTGTAGGCCATAGACCGTCATGCTGGTCCAATGCGGGTTGGAAGTCGTTGTGTTCTTTTTTTTTGTAAAATATAAGTGCGCTTTTGACCTCCAACTCACCTGGTGGAAAGTGACAATGAGGTCGACGATCGATGAAGTATGCACACCTAAATAATGCCTATTCACTCTCGCCTTGAAAAGGTTCAGTTATAGCGTCCAGGGAATAAGTCTGCAAGCAGAGAATTCCACTCCATAGGCGATCGCCTTGAAAATAAAAATGTGGAAGCGTAATGCTTCGTGCGAATCTTTGGAATATCCACAATATAGTTTAGAACCCAAACTTACATATTTCAAAGTTTGTCACGTGAAGTGTCTACGGATCAAGCACGCTTTTGCAAATGACTGAAAATTTTAGTAGCAGTAGATCTCCTTGTGAAAGAATTCGTTCAGGGAAGTACTGCCACCGTGCCTATTTCTGCCGCCAAGCAGTAATGTCAGCATTACTGTGTTCCGATTTTGATGGGAGGGTGCTGGTGAAATTACAGGCACACGGGACTTGTCAAGTTATGTCTCAGGGTGACGGGCGCAGTGTCAGAGCCCCTCAGATCTTTGCGTCTTAAAGCTCTGAGTGGCACTGCAACTATTAGGGGCTAGCGTGTAGCTTACCATCAGGCGCACGACTTGTTCATCCCGTCACTTGATGTTATAAAAAAATCTGGTTTGGTGTTAAAAAAAATTTTTAACACCAAAGGATTTTAAGTCAATTTCATAATTTAAAAAGTAAGTAAATTAAATTATAGTTAATTTATATAAATATTTTTATTTAATTTTAATGGGGTAATCAAGTATTTCAAAAGAACTACCTCACGGTAGGTCCCTAGACACTTTTGATGTATGTCTGTAAATATGTCAAAGTTTACAAGCCGTCAATAAAACGAGGACATAAAAAAGACAAAAATAAACATTGACTTGGTCTAGATTTCCAGACGGAACTGAGAATAGGTCACAGGTCACAGATTACATAATAACATTCGTAACATGTTCGTAGAAAAAACGCCGACTGTTTCTAAAAGCGTATAAAATAGGCCGACCAAAATAGCTACAGCCCGAAATTAAATTTGCTGGAATTATAAAACACCTTCGTATATTTATTGATGAAGTTAAATGTAAGAGTTTTATTAAATTTTGTTTATTTTACATTGTAGCAATAGACAAGTATATAAGAAAGACATGTACGACCAATCTTAGGTAATTGAAGCCTTAACTTATAATGTAAAGAGCACTATAGTCTCTCAGTTCATAAAACTGACAAAAAAATTAGTTAAAATTATTTGAGAGAGATGTCGCTACAGTGCTCCAAATCCAAAAGGATTAGTTATGGAGAATTACACTTTAAATCGTCAAAATGATTAAACATTATTATTCTATTATTTGTTAACAATTTTCGTCTACAATATTAGTTATTATTTCTATTATAGTTCATTTCACTTAGAATGGGTATGTTTATATTTTCACATTGCATGCATATTATATTTTACTAATCTCTTAACTAGGTTACAAAAAGAAATAGTAAATGTGTTACACTATACCCAAAACCTATTCGTTGCAGTTGTAATTTTAAATAAAAAATACAGTACGTATAAAAAAAAAATTAGACGATGAAGATAAAAATAAAAAAGACCTCATATACTTGATGCGTAAAGTGGAACATTTAGTCATAGAGATTTGCACCGTAGAATCTTATATAGAAACGATTATTTTGTATATATATTTTTTTTTGATCAAGAAAGATATGTAAACATTAAGCTACTAAATCGTCGATCTAAGTTCTTTAAATACAAATACTTCAATCTACTACATAGACAATGCTCCTTTAATGTTTCCTTTTGACTGATTCTAAGTATTTTCAGTGATTTGATGTTGCCTTCAAGAAGGGTCACAACACTTGGAAAACGTGTTAACCGTGTTAAATCGATAACGCAGCTTAGATGAATACGTGCCTAGTTGGAGACGTACAATGAAGTGGATAAGGACTGCATGGGGATGTAAAAGTAGTGAGAAAAACGTTATTTTTCTATTATTTTATCTATTAATACTTTTAGGAAACCTATGATATTATAATGCTCACCGTATGAAACGCAATGAAGAAGTACAATACACGACTTCTGTTGGGTAATTTTTCGAAAGATTTCAAATGGTGGACATTTTTTCGGAAAAATTCCCGAAATACTGGGAAAATATAAGTTCGAGGGCTCATGTTATGTTCTACGTTTAGAAATATCTTTTGAAGTTTTATTTATCGTGAATTATAAAGTAAAATTATTTAGCTAAAAACCACATACAGAAAAACCGAGATTTAAAATGAATTGACACAACAACGAAAAATATCTTTTTAATGGCTCCATCGTTTTCGTTCAGTAACTTCATCTTTTGACAGCTGTCAATGTCAAATGTGGAAAATTAGAGGAAAAATATTGAAAACGTATCCGGAAAAATATGATTATTTCAAAATGGGAATTTTTCCATGACCCAACACTATACACGATACATAACAACAATCAATCAAACAATAATGAAAAACAAAAATATAGCAAAACAATATGAAAAAGCAAAGAGTTTGCTACATCATACGTGATATTGTAATCAATAGTTTACATAACTTTTAACAGCACGTAATCAATACACCGCAAAATACTTTAAATATGTTTTAAATTTCATGTCCAGGCGATTTAAAAGGCTGCACAGCCGAATGGAGTCAGCGGAGTACACAATAGATACAAACTTGCGTTTTATTGTTCGGTAACAGTGTTAGAACCTCGAACTAAAAGACCGGTCACCACAAGCCTATAATGCTAATAAACTTAGTCTCCGACAAGGCAACTTCCAAACACTGCATCCAACTAAACTCTTTACAGCATTAGGCGAAATAACTCTAGGACACTGTCAGACTTCGTGATGCTAATGGAACACCGCCGTGCTTAGAACTTACAACTTTTATGGATGAGTACAATCGAGTTAGGCAAGTCGAAAATAGCGTTTACGTAGTTTCGTGAATTGCAAATTACCTGTGTTGTGTTTTAAACTCAATGTTGTTTAGTATACATGGATCATTAACAATATATTAAAAAAATATATATAATACAGTAAATGCATTGAAGATCACGATGTTTTAGAGTACCATGATAGTCAATTATTTGTTTGTGAAATTACTCCACTAGTTTGTTGCGTTATAGTTATTAATACAACGATCGAATATTAAGAGAAATTGCTTCGATTCGGCTGGATTTGAACCAGCGCCTTTAATATATCGTGGCTGATGCTCTCTCAACTGAGCTAAATAACGAACCAACAGACCTCATGAATTTTTCTATGTGCTTGTTGCAGAACTTTGTTTTTCACCATCTGTGCGAATCTATGAAATATACTAAGACAATTTAATGATTCCGTACATAGACAAAAACAAGTAAAGCCATTAGTTACAGAAAAGGTTATACAACAATAACAACACTATTATATTTAAAATATGAGTTTTCAACCTCTAAACTTGGTGAAAGATCTGTGTCTTATGTTCTTAGGATATATTTGCTTAGTTTGTTTGCAATTATTTTCCAGTTTGTAAATTCATTATTTATTTTATTGTATATCATGTTTTTAATATCATGATATTCATATTTTGTGAAAATACTCCAGCTAGTTCGGTGTTTAATAATTCCTTCAATATTGCCGAATTCGAACCAGCATCCGTTTGCCGGACCGGGGCTAACCACTCTCCCAATAGAGGTAGTCCTTATAATTTTAGGTAAGGTACAAAGTTTGTAAATTAAAAGTTACGCGTGTTTATAATAAAATGGTCCCTAAACAGGCTAGCCTGTTTTTATGAGTACCGTAATGGGTTACTTAGGTCAATTGATTAAAACTGTATATTCACAAGTATATAAAGTTAAGTGCTTTGATATTGATGATCAAATAAGAGAACAGGCATGGAAATTGTTGAGAAATAAAATATTTATACGCATTCAGAAATCAGGAGTAAAAAGAAACAATAGCTATTTAAGACGTCACACTTTAGTGTAATGTGTGTAATGTTATGCCAAGAAACGAAGGAGCACCTCTCCACCACTGAATATAACCATTATTTTTTTAAATTCTATTTAAACAGTCGTAAAAAATGTAGGTGACACATTGATTAAAACAAATAGGCCTGGACGCCGAGCATTTCTTTAAGCATTTAGCTAGCACGATGATAACAGCAATTTGTCAAACTTTCCTAGATCACAAATAAATTTAAAAAAAACTCCTTTTGCTTTCTTCATAAAAGTACGTAAAGGTAACACTAATATATCTTACAGTACCTATTTAAGTTTTTATTATAGGAATCTAAAGATACCAAATTTCCACGAGATTTTAGCTTTTTATTCTGGTATAAAGGTATTTAGAATTGAACTTTAAGTTCGTTTCTGATTTGTTTTACATTTTTTTCCAAGAAAAATTAAAAAAAAAAATTACTCAATTTTACAGAAAATTATAATTTAATACATGATTACGATTATAATAAAGAGAAAGAACAAAACCTTTTAATAAAATAAAATATATATAAGTAATCTTGGCTTACTTGGCGAATCAGCAAGCATATCCTGGTCTTCCTGAGGCGGAGACTTCACCGACCCTGGTGACATTTTGACGGGCGCGTGGGGAGAGGCAGTAGGCCCAGAGCTGGCGCTGCCCGTGCTGCTGGCTGGTCCCGCGTTGTGCGACGTCGTGATAGTGATCTCGCCATTCGATGCTGCCAGTCTGTTGGGGTAAATTCAGTGGTTAGATGCATAAGAATTCGAAAGAATCGTTCAGGATGAGAAAGCATTAGGTTAAAGATTTATAATTAAAATATATAATATGACAATTTAAAACATCATAGGAGCTGCATATGCGTTATCGCCATTGAGCGCCACGTTGACTCGCTTATTGAAGAACACCATACCCCTAAGGAAATACTTAAGGAAGGAGACCACTCCACATCTTGCAGGTTCAAGGAAGGAACGACGCGATGTCCGCGTTGGTTTAGAATGCCAAGCATCAAGGATGTGGGGATGGGTTCTACTCCTTTGTTGTAAGGTGTGATGGTGGAAAGATGACGGAGGTAACAGTTCGAAAATTTCCTCTGAACACTCCCCGTTACCGTCGTAACGGCAGAGCACACACAGAGTGCCAACGTTTCTCCGTAATTTATATAATAGGCAATGTAATATTTTATTAAATAGTTACTATATATGATATTATTCTATAATGTTTATGATTACCTACCTAACTAAACCTAACTAAGTCCTTCAGCTCCACCACATATATCTTCCCTGGCCAGCAGATTAAGCTCCGCTGCATACGCAGTCCGCAGAATACGTGAGCTTACCGATGTGTTGGCACTGCTAGCTAGTTTACTTTAATTACTTCCATAGTATAATGTTCTACGAGTTTCTCATGTGGGGGGTAAAGCGGCAGATATACAAACTATATTTGTGTTGCAAAAACGAGCGACTCGTTCTGTGTAGGTTCTCGAGCTTAGAGAAAAGTTTAAGGAGATTGGTATCGCGAGCGTGGCATCACAGTACATTTACTCGAATATATTGTATGCCTATAAGAATATACATAATTTCATTAAAAAAGATATCCATAATATTACCCTTAAAAGTACTGAAGTAAATCCAAATTCAAAGCACCACAACTTCATTTAAGTTAGGTAAATGGTTCTTTTATGAGGAAGTGTATACGTTTCTTCAATAAGATATATAAAAATATATAAAATCATATCATTCCGAAGCATATATTTAGATTGTTACTTCTTCGGTTTAAAACTTACAACAAAAGTATTTTAATTGAAGTCATATTCAAACTACGTGTTAGATAAATATGCGTGGAAAGACAACATGAGTCTAGATTCCTCAAAAAAATGTGTTTCAAAGTGTAACAGAATACACTTTGAAACACATTGTTTTGAGGAATTTTTGAAAAGCAGAGTTTCTTGCTCATTCTTCTCAAGTAAGTAAGCACAGTGAACGTAGCTTAAAAAATTTCGTTTTTAAGTGTAAAATTTTACCTATGGATTATTTGATTGATTGACGGCAAACAATGTGAGTCTCTACATGCTATAAAAACCGGGGTGAGTTCTTTTTCGATATTTCATTAAGAATGTTTTTAAAACTAATTACTTTTCGAGTTCTTAGGTTTTCGCGATTGTTACACATAGGAAATGAAAATATTTTTCCGGATTTAAATCGCGTATATTTGTTTTTTCAAACAAACCTACGTTTCGGGCCCTTTACAGGTCCCATGGTCACGGTTGACTGAGATGGTACAGTCTTCAACGAGTTATGTCTAATTTTGATGCAAACCACCCTATTTTTTCACTATAGTTACAATAGTTATTAATTAAATACCTTATTTTTAATTTTACAAACAAACGTTCCAATTTACGCTACAGTAAGTTTTACAAATTATTTTATTGAATGAATTTTTATTAAGTTCAATTTATTATTAATTCATAATAGAAATTAGAATAAACTAAAACATATTAATTAGTACTGTAGTCTTATGCCTGTTTGGGATTTTTCATTAGAGGAAATACTGGATCCCAAACTGGTGGTGCGGAGAAACCATCTTCCCTGTTGAAATTAGGATGTTTTTTAATTTCAATGGCCTCTCGCAGCATCCTGGGTAGATAACGGACTTCTTTTGCAAGGGCCTGGGCTTTGCCAAACTTCATTGAATGTGTAGGTTTATCCATGACATGCTCGCAGACTGTCATGGATAAACCTACAATATATTTGTTTGAAAAAACAAATATACGCGATTTAAATCCGGAAAAATAGTTTCATTTACTAATTACTTTCCTTGTAATATTGATTGTAATGAATATTTTTTTATGTGAAATTACTTTAGTAGTTTATTTTAATTCTTTCGACCAGTCAGAAGTCGAACCAGCTGAGCTACAAATCGTCTCACCAGACCTTACGAATTTTTCTTTGTGTTTGATCTTTGTATTAATAATGATTTCTTTCCTGTTAAATAATAAGTGAATAATGTGATTGAAAGTTCATGTTTAACATGTTTTGTCAGCTTAAAAACCACCACTAAAATCCTGGGTTGTAACAATGGTGTGTCACGATGTTACACTCAAGTTGTACAAATGAGGTGCGCGCTGCATTAGCGGTAATTGCTCTCTAATTAGGCCCCGTCCGTTGCAACAAACACACACGCATGCATTTATTATTATTCTACCACGCGAAATTAGTGCCGGTTATGATGAATTTTGTTTCGAGGTTCTAATAATAATTTTGACGCCTCAGTGGCTTAACGGTTTGTACTGTGGGCGTTGGATGGGGGTTCCAGGGTTTAATTCCCGGTAATAATCTGTACTTTAAGACTGCGTAATTGATGTGGATGTCTATAAAAATGGTTTATTATATTTAGCTGCATTTACTTGAATTTACAGGTCGCAGAGGTCCCAGGTTCGATTCCCGGGCCGAGAGAAATAGTTGTATTGCCTACAATTATTTCTCTCGTGAGTTTGGGTGTAATTTGTGGTTGTCTATGTGTGTGTCCATGGCACCCGCGACACAGGGTTTCCCTAGTGCGGGGCTATGTTGAGTGTGTGCGTTATTTATTAAAAAAATAATAATAATAATTTGGTCCGTAAATGTAATCGAAAGCAACTAAATACCCGATATAAAAAAAACGCCATCTTTGCCAGTTCGGCCCACACTATTTGTATATCCAACGTCTCAACACATTAATAAAATAATATAAAATGCAAACACTTTCAATCCATTCTATATTATCTATCAAACCACAGGGAGTGAGAAAAAAGGTCTGTAGTTTAGCAAAATGGCGGCGAGTTTAACTTTAATAATAAGAGTGGTTATACTCGGCGACTTTAGCAGCGATGCAAACGTGCGTTCGTGAAACGCGCGATTGTACACTTACGATTTATAGGCGATTGCATCGTTTGTATCGATGCAGTCGCGCGTTTGCATCGATGTAATCGCCTATAAATCCCAAGTGTAGCGATGCAATCGCGTGTTTGCATCGATAAAGGTAGACGATTAGCGACTGCATCGCAACTGCATCGCGTTTACATCGCTAACACATTCATATCATTCGGTCTTAACGATTGTAATCCGCAGTAAATTAATAAAATATAGTGAAAATATATTTTTTATAAAAAAGAACCGACCTAAAAACTTTGTCGTATTACATCTATTTACCAAGTTTTATTGAAATCGGTAATGTTATACCTAGATCAATTAGAGAGTTAGTTACAAAACTATAATTTAGACATTACATTCGATTCATCTGTATGCTTTATCAAACTATTAAAATGCTACAAATGTACACTTTTTTCAGCTTGTGGGTGTTTTCAATGTTCCACTTTGCAGCAACGTAAATGTTTTTGGGCTTGTTCCCTAGACAACTCCATGACCAGACACTTTAGGACGCGTGGTCACGTAAAGTTTTCTTTAAGCGAGTTTAAAACGACCACGTCTGCTTTCTACGTAATTAGTCGCTATTGGACTTATTCTTCTGCAACGATTTGAATTGACATTAATTGATTTAATAAGATACGAGTCACACTTTCCTAAAAGAAGGCATATGGCGAGCAGGTCTTTTCAAGAAAAAGTAGTTGTCCCGCCTTGTGAGAGTCTACCTCCTGGACACGAACTGCCATGACCGATCTGGACGTCTTTAAATTGACTTCGGACTTAGTTTGGTTGGAGTGAGGACAATTTGTTCAGGTGGGGATTTTCGGATGGCTCTAACTTGGACTGTTCGTACGGTGCGAATCAAACGATGGCCCACCACATATCGTACCCTGCGGCTGCGTACCCTAACACCTGCACGCCTGAGGATTTAATGGAGGCTACTAGCGACGCGGTTGGCGTGGTTGAGTTCTGGGCCACAATAGTATAATAGTAATGTATGTTATCGATACGATAGGAAGAAGAAGAGGAAAAAGTAGTTCTGCGAACAGTCCGTTTTAATAATACGTCATTCTACGAACAGGACTTTTCAAGAATAAGTAGTTCTACGAATAAGCCGTTTCAAGAATAAGTCCTTTTACGGACAGGCCGTTTTAAGAACAGGTCATTGGGCGAACAGGACATATTTTAGTAGTAAGTCGTTTTGCGAAAAGGTCTAATTCGATAGTTGTTTGACATGAGGGTTACGGATCAAATATAATGTGAAGACTATCTATTGCTTGAATCTATTAATGACTTTTTAAAGTACCTACGAGAAAGTATGTTACTACGAAATTTGGATTTATTCTGTGCGTTTATCATGTCGTTGTAACGACAGGTGTCGCTTGCAACCGCGCAAAATATTTAATAGTTTTTTACAGCAAATAGTACAACTCTAATGGTAGTGACCATTTCAAGAAGAACATTTTGTTTACAAATATTTTACGCCAACTATCACAATGAACTAACTTTTAACAACAATTAATTTATTGGAATGTGTATATGAGGGCTTATAAATTTTAAAGAATCTGTCGTAAGGGTGTAAAAGGTTCATCTTGAATTGCGAAATAAAAAAAACACATTCCATACAAAAAGTTCGTACAAAACCGTATGAAATAGACGATTTAAAAAAAATTGAAGTTGGCCTTTTAATAATACTCTTTTTATTTTATTTTTTCATCTCGATTTATTTTATTTTTTCATATAAAGTACCTAGAAGGCAGACGAGTAGAGGTTCCACTTGTTGGGAGCTAGTCGTAATACATTTTTTTTGCACTGCATGTGATT